CCATGCTTTTTCATAAGAGTCCTCTATGAAATCACCTGCCACTCGTGTTCTACCTACATGGATTCTGTTAACATTGGATCCAGGAGCCTTCGATGACATTCCTTGGTCAATTTAGACTTTGGTGCACACTAGGCAATTTGTACAATACTTAAAGGAAGCCTCTAGTTGAAACAAGCCATTAGATTACTGTAGATGCCCATTTGTAAGAGACAGTTAGAAAGAACTAATGGCAACAGAGACAGGTAAAGACTGGCCTGAACACCCTAGATCAGGGGTGGGGTGGTGTTCCCACATAGTGTGGCTGTTGAGCCATGTGAAGCTCTTTTGGTACGTACAGGTGGCTCTGAAGATTCAGATAATGGTGACTTCCTTAGTTTGTAAAAATATATTTATGGCTCTTGGATAATTTTTAAATTGTTGTTGGGGACAGGAATGGTTCTTCAGTCTCAAAAGTTTGCCAACCCCTGACCTAGATGATGCTAAATAATCCCGTGCAAAGGAAAAATGTTTAGTATTCTTTGAACTTTTACATGGCACTTGTTCTTCTGAGGGCTCACGATGAGATACACCCACTCCTCACTTTTTGACACAGTTAGGCTCCAAACACCAGGTTGCTATGTGAAAATTGGCACCATGTTAAGTGAGGGTCCTAACTCTGGTGCTGGTGTCCCCTTTCCCACCCAGCATGGAGCCCACAGGGGTGGAGGCTGGTAGTGGTGGTGGGCTGGGGTTGCCCTGCAACCTCCCGAGCAGCAGGTACCCACCATCGCCTGAACATGTTCCAGGCCTCCACGTGAAGCCCACTATCTCACTAGTTCACCTTCCCACCCCAGTGGACCTCAGGGAGTAGCTCCCGGGGTTGCAGCCCGTGGAAGCTGGTCACCTGGACCCAGTGGAGGCTGTGACGGTGGCAGAGAGCCTCTTTGGAAGAGACTTTGGAGCCTCCGCAACTGACTCCTAGAACTAGGCTCCCCACTGCCTGTGTGCACCTCCTCCCTGGTGGTTCATCTGTTGCACCCCCTTCTCTGACCTGAGGGAGACGGCCCAAGCAGTCTCGTTCCCTCACAAACCTATTCCTCTTCTGGTTCCTCATTCGTGCACAAAGCAGTAGCTTAGATTTTTTTTTACAACTGTTGTAGATGTTAGATAATAAATGTTAGATATTGTGGTAAATAATAAGATAGTCCTTAAGTGAGGAGTAGATCTAGTATCAGCCTACAGGGCAGAACTCAAAGGACTTAGTCTGCTAAACATTTTCAATCCCATTGTTATATATATATATATAAAATAACCTTAACTCGTTGACAGTTTCGTATACATAGATACTTAACTTAGAGGACAATCAACTGCCTAAGAACAAGAGACCAGCTGGTCTTGTTTTCTCTTATACGAGTCTCTTGTTCTTAGGCAGTTGATTGTCCTCTAAGTATATATGTACAAGAAACCGGCAATGAGTTCAGGTTATGTTAATCCATTTTCAGTGTTTTGAGGGCTTTTGTAAGGGGCAGATTTTGTTTTGTTTACTATTAGAAATGAGGAAGATAATAAACACACAGGATGATTAGTATTTCTATTATAAAAACTGTATCAGCAGGTCTACTCTAAAGCTACTGACTTTATAAGCTGTCCACCACCCCTGACCCTTCCACACTTTCCCCTTAGCACTCCTCACAGTCTAATCCCCACTTGCACGGCTGCTGAGTGAATTCCGAGCAGATCCTCCCTCTAAGCCAGAACAGGGCTGTTTCTGAGGGTTGCCAAGACTGTAGATCTTCACGGGAGCAGACAGTGCCTCATCTTTCACCCAAGGAGCAGCTGGTGGGTTTGATACACCCACCATGTGACCAGCAGTCCGACACTCACCCGACAGTGCCACAGGGCACCTTTTGTCAAAGATACAATATATTTATGTATTCAGTGTGTTCCCTGTTGGTCTCTCTCCATTAGAATGTAAACACTTCCAAGGCCCAGGCTTTTGTTTTGCTTCTGTAAATAAAGATTACAGCTGTGGAATCCGTGCGGCAGGTTTACTCTGTCCTATAGCCGCTATGTGTTGAAATTGACTTGAAGGCACTCGATGGGGTTGGGTTTGTAGTTAATACAAATACACTGTTTGGTGCCAAAGTGAAATGTAAACAAGATTCCATCATAGACACTGTCCATTTAACGAGTATGAAATTAATCTCAGAAGACAATATAAGAACTGAAATAATCCAATAGATGTCATCAAGCTTTTCATGATAAATTACTGAGTGGCCAAATTAGGAGGACATTCCTGTGGGCTTAAGAGCACTGAGAAGGCTTTTAACACATTTCTGGTATGGAAAGGAACTTGAATGTTTTTGATACAAGCAAGTACTAACAAGGCATTCATTCATTCATTTATTCATTCAGGTATTCTTTCAAAACATTGTAAGTAAGCCTGTATATGTGGCAAACCGAGGAGCCCTGGTGGCATAGTGGTCACTCGTTGGGCTGCTAACCACATGGTCTTCAGTTCAAAACCACTGTGGGAAAAGAAACACAAGGCTTTTTACTCACATATAGAGTTACGGTCCTGTCTTAGGGGGTCTCCCTGAGTCAGAATGGACTTGACAGCAGGGAGTTAGGCTGTGTGCCAGGCACTGGGCATGGAGATGAACAGAAGGCAGTCTCTGCCTCCAGGGCCTCACTACTTAGTGCCGGAGAAACATGAAAACATAATTCTAGGTCGCCATATTAGACATAAGTACAAGCACTTTGTGAAACGGGAAGGAATGAATGGCTACCTGTGGAAAGGTCAGGAAGGCTGAATAGGAGAGGCGACCCTGCACAGGAAGAACTCATCAGGAAGACCAGGACGCTCCACACATGGGAAGTGCACGTCTCCGAGCACAGTGGCAAGAAAGAAGTGGCTTTTCCAACACTGCAAATAGTTCAGACAGCGCGCGCACACACACACTCAGCATCAGGAGGAGAGGTGGGGAGCTCGGGAGAGGATGAGCTGGAGATGAGGCTGAGTGGAAACCAGGGTCAGACGATGAAGTCCCTGGATGCTCTACTGAAAAAGGTGAGCTAGCACACAGACCCTACAGGACAGAGTAGGGTTTCCCAGGCTGTCAAGGTTTACGAGAGGAGGAGATCGTTTCCGCTTTCTCTGAGGAGAGGCTAATGGAATCCAACTGCTGACCTAGGCTTAGTAGCCCAACGTGTAACGCCTTATGCCACCAGGGCTCCAAAAATAGAGCTCACAGGACATTTACACAGGGCAGGGTCTTATGTGTGCATGAACTGAGCTGAGAAATAGACTGTTCGTCGGTCACAGAAGTGGAGAATTACTGATCTAAGCTGCTTAATCAAGTGCAGAAGCTTAGTGCTTGACTAATACAATCGTGGCAGTGTGACCTGGAACCTACAGCTGTAACAAATACTAAGGGATTCGTGAAACAAAGCCAAACTAAACTCACTGCCATCAGGTAGATGCTGACTCATAGGGGCAGGGTAGAACTACGGGTCCTTGTGAGTTTTCGAGACTGTAACTCCTTCTGGAAGTAGAAAGCCCCGTCTTTCTCCTGAGGACCTGCCGGTGGTTTCTAACTGCTGACTTTGCGGTAAGCAGCCCAATGTGCAACTGTAGGGATCCCCTAGTGATTCGGATGTACATTTAAATTGAGAACTACGCTGAGAATAATCTGGAGCCAGTGGGGGGATGATAAGCAGCACTCAGAAATGATCAGATTGGTTTTAGAATGATCTTTGGAGTCTATAAAGCTGGAGTCTGTGAAGCACAGAGGCAGGACCACACATTCAGTGGTTATTAGGGTTCCACCCCTGAACTGGCAGGGAAGAGGGTGAAGCCGACTGCAGGGTGGGCCAGGATAGGTGAGCAAAGCAACTGAGGTGATTTCACAAGGACTGGTGGAAGGGAAGACAGGAGGGATGGACTGAAGCTACAGGTGGATGAATGAATTTGCATGCAGGCCTGTTCCGTTTTTAAAACGAACAGGAAGCTACTGAACGTTTTTCATCGCAGTAATATGTTAACGCCCTGTCCATAGAGGAGTGCCCTGCTGTGGTCAGCTATGATCGTTACTATCCATTATTGAGAAGCTGGCTCTGACTGGTGACGACCCCAGTGTGCAGCAGAGAACTGCTCCCACAGGGCTTGCAAGGCCGTGACTTTTTGGAAGCAGCAACTCAGGCCTTTCTGCCTGGGCACCTCCAGGTAGAGTGAAATGGTCAGCCTCTTGGCTGGTAGCCAGTATGTGACCATCTGTATACGCAGGGGCTTTTGAGAATGAATAATTTTCTTGGTAAGGAAAAAAAAAAATTGAGAGCAAGTGGGAGATATTACAATTCAAATTGTGAGATTAGTTTCCAAGTCAGGGAGACAGCAAATGGGTTAGGAGAAGGAATGAGTTAAAAACAACAACAACAAACAAACCCCCAAACAATACCAAACTACCAATCAACAAACAAACAGTCAGAAGGATCAAGTGGCAGGCTCATCCAGACAGCACACACCATGGGGACACATCCCGCACTTTGGAGCCAGGTTACCCGCAGTTCAAACCCTTGCTCTCCCACTCCACGAGTCGGAGGACTTCCTAGGACTCGCCTTTCCTCATTTGTAACATGGAGACAGTAACAGTGTCTACACTTCATAAGCTGTTATAAAGATCCAATGATGTAAAATATGTAACACATTTACCATGGATGTTAATATATGCTACATATTTTGTTGTTAATATGCCTAAAAAAGCTTCCAGTTGGCCCATAAACCTCTTCTTTTCACAGCCTGTCCCTGTGGAGTCAGGAGTCCCAGGGTTAAATTCCATCCAGCTGATGACCCCAGTCCCCCAGTGTATGAAAAGAGGACTGGGCTCCACCGGGTTTTCAACAGGTAGTGTTTTTGCAAGTAGGTTGTCAGCTCTTTCTTTCGGGTGTTTCTGGGTGGACGCAAACCTCCAGCCTGTGGGGCGCTCCATCTAAACAACAGTTGGCTGTAGTAAGATGCTTACCGTTGAAAGGATTGATCCCTGCTCTTCTTCGTGAAATAACAGCTTCTTTGACTTCTTTCTTCTTTACACATCGAATACCCAAATTTTGAAAACTAGATGGGTAAAAATGAAACATTTACAGGTGCTTTATATGTAAATATAAAATATGAAAATAAATAAATGCAAAATATGAAAAGAAAAACAATTTATAAATTATCAATGGTTCATGGGGGTGGGAGGAGGGGAGGGGAAAACAAGAGGAGCTGATACCAAGGGCTCAAATAGAAAGCAAATGTTTTGAGAATGATGATGGCAACAAATGTACAAATGTGCTTGACATAATGGATGGATAGATGGATTTTGGTAAGAGTTGTATGAGTCCCAATAAAATGATTTATTTATTAAAAAAAAAGATTTATAGCTCGGGGAACCCTCTGTGCTTGAAGGGTCAACAGCAGCTGGAACTGACCCGATGGCAGTAGATAAGAGCCTTGTAGAATAATGGGTTAAGTTTGGGTGCTAACCCTAAGATTAGGGTTCAAACCCACCCAGTGGCTCTGTGGGAGAAAAACCATGGTGATCCATACAAATGACACCGAGGAAATCCCATGGCACAGTTCTACTGTCTCACAAGGTCACTATGAGTTGGCATTGACTTGATGGCACGCAACAATAACAAACAGTATGTCTATATCAAATACAAGAGAGTAGGTGGAGATTCATAAGAAGCAACAAAGAGCTACATAAACTTATTCAACTCCCAAATTCATACTCAAATCAATAACATCTGATTGGGTTGAGCTGCAAGACTGTAGGTGTATTTTGTTAGGTCCATAGAGTGTTGTCTACATTAAAAAAAAGTATATAGGTTGCCAACATTTAAAAAGTAGGTGATTGAATCGAAGCATCTGATTTCTGGCTCCTCCTGAACATCTGACAGGAGTGGCAACACTGGGTTCCGACAGAACAGAAACAACTGCCAGGAGCTCAGCACCTGCTGCTCCCTTATGCAGGGCTCCTCTGGGGGCTCCGAGTCCACGGCCGGCTCATGCCCGCCTGGCCCCTGGACACTGGTTTTTGCCCTGACTGATTTCACGACTAGTTGCAGTGGAATATGATACAGTTTCTACCATATTATATGAACTTATAATCACTCATTATAAGAAAGCATTGAAACATATCTTTGTAAATTGACAAAGTTTTATTACTAACTAATACTCAAACATTTCAACATGTCTTTGATGGAAAACTTCTTAATAGCTACACATATTACTAATTTACATATGTGTAGTACAGATCATGGGGGGGATCCCCCACCCCCACCAGTCATACTAGTTCCCACATGGAAAAACCATGACATCATTAAGTTGGGTGGGTGTGAATAAGAAAGCAAAACTCAATTATAAACACATTGCTGCCTGTTTCAACTTCAGAGGGCCATTTCTGTGGCCTTCTCCATGGTCACGCTAAGGCTCGGGTTTAAACTCTTCATTCATCCAATTTAGGATTTTGCTAGCATCTAGAACAGCTTTGACACTCCCCTCCTCTGCCTCGCCAATAGTTAAAACATAAACCTTGGCTCGCCAATCCTTACTTGAAATCCTAAAACTGTAATACTCTTCCTCAAAAGTGCTCCCCACTTCTTTGGAAAAACTCTTAGCTTGGTTCACTTCTTTTTTCTCTGGCAAAAAGGCTTTAAAGAATTCTTCATTTTAATATTTTATATACTATTTGATTTTGCTTTATTCGCATTATCACTTTTCCCAAACTAATTGAAGTAAAGAGCATTTCAGAAATTCTGACATGAGAAATCAAGGTGCACAGAGATTAAGTGACTTGTTCAAAAACAACTTTCAAGGGGCAAAACTTCAAAACAGTATTCAAGGGTCTGAGGCGCCCAAGGAAATCGATTACACAGTCACCAGTTACTGGTTCCTGATTGTTCAACAAGTTTGAGACTTCTGTTATGTACCAAGAACTCTGCACGGCAACAGAGCAGTCCAACCCTGTCTTTTGGTGCTCAGTCTTCAGCAGGGTTGGCGACGATAGCTCATGGACTAAACAGCCTGCCATCTGTTTGGGGGTAAGGAAGGCTTTATTGGTGCCCCAGCACACTTACTTATTTATATGTTGTCTGTGGTTGCCTTTGTTTTACAACAGCAGAAGTAAATAGTTTTGACGGAGGCTGTATGGCCGGCCTGTAGAACCTAAAATAGGACTCCTATGGCCCTTTAAAAAAGTGTGCTGACCTTTGGTCCAGTGAGAAAGGCAGATAATCAATAATCACACAGGCTAATCTGAAGTCATGACAAGTTTTCTGAAGGAGAGATATGTGGTTTTACAGGAAGCTATGAGATGAGAGTTGATCAATTCAGGCTCCAGCAGGAAGCGGTACTTAATAGGAACAGAAGTGAATTAAGTAAAGAGGAGAGAAAACAGATGTCTGGGAAGAAAGAGGGAAGCAAGCAGAGGTCCCAAGAAGGGCACTGTGTGCATGGCAACAACAGGAAGGCAGTGCGACTGCAGTGATGAACCACAGGGAGGCCATGTCACTGGAAGCAGTGCGACTGCAGTGTGCAGGGAGGTCATGACACTGGAAGCAGTGTGACTGCAGTGTGCAGGGAGGCCATGACACTGGAAGTAGTGCGACTGCAGTGTGCAGTGATGAACCACAGGGAGGCCATGTCACTGGAAGCAGTATGACTGCAGTGATGAACCACAGGGAGACCATGACACGAGAAGCAGTGTGACTGCAGTGTGCAGTGATGAACCACAGGGAGGCCATGTCACTGGAAGCAGTGTGACTGCAGTGTGCAGGGAGGCCATGTCACTGGAAGCAGTGTGACTGCAGTGTGCAGAGAGGCCATGACACTGGAAACAGTGCGACTGCAGTGTGCAGTGATGAACCACAGGGAGGCCATGTCACTTGAAGCAGTGCGACTGCAGTGTGCAGGGAGGCCATGACACTGGAAGCAGTGTGATTACAGTATGCAGGGAGGCCATGTCACTGGAAGCAGTGCAACTGAAGTGCGCAGTGATGAACCACATGGAGGCCATGTCACTGGAAGCAGTGCGACTGCAGTGTGCAGGGATGAACCACAGGGAGGCCAAGTCACTGGAAGCAGTGCGACTGCAGTATGCAGGGAGGCCATGACACTGAAAGCAGTATGACTGCAGTGATGAGCCACAGGGAGACCATGACACTGGAAGGCAGTGCGACTAGCAGGGAGGCCATGACACTGGAAGGCAGTGCGACTGCAGTGTGCAGTGATGAACCACAGGGAGTCCATGGCACTGCAAACAGTGTGACTACAGTGATGAACTACAGGGAGTCCATGACACTGGAAGGCAGTGTGACTGCAGTGTGCAGTGATGAACCACAAGGAGGCCATGACACTGCAAGCAGTGTGGCTTCAGTGATGAACCACAGGGAAGCCATGACATGGGAAGCAATGTGACTGCAGTGATGAGCCACAGGGATCCTATGACACTGGAAGACAGTGTGGGCCTTGCAAGCCAATGTAATGCTGCTGCCTTTATTCCAAAAGCCACATAAAGTCATTAAAATGTTTTCAGTTGGGGTAGGACAATTTGTATTTGAAATAATCACTCTGGCTTAAATGGAAGACAGATTGAAGAAGTGGCATGAAGCTCCAAGACTAACAGTTAGGAGGCTAGTCCAGCAGCCTCCTGATTCAGGAGGGCTGTTGATCACCAGCAGGAGTGGACAAATTCTAGAGTCCTTCCAGAGGTAGCTGACCATGGGTCAGTGTGTCTGGTTGTACAGGGGTGTCGAGGATCGGTCAGTATGGAGCTTTGATAGTAACCACTAAGATCAGGAACCTGCACTGGAAAGAGGCCAGTGTGGTGCAGAGGTCAGATGAGAGTTTGGAGCATATTCGTTGTCAGGTGCTTTCGCGACACCTAAGAGCGTATGTCCAGAAAGCAATTAGGAGAAACACAATTCGCACCAGAAGGAACTAGGTCTCCTCAGGGAAAAAAGGGGCTGGACCAGAAAAATATAAATAAGTTTTGAATACCCTGCTGTGTCAGAAGGGAAGGATGTCAAAGAAATAATGGAGATATGTCAGAGCACACAGTATGAGGGTTTTGCACTGCTCAAATGTGCAATCTGGAAACATCTAAACATTGCCAGTATGGGCTGTAATATATTGAATAATAAAAAAAAAAAGACATCTATGATTCCAAAGTGGTATTTTTAAGAGAAGGGACCACTCTAAAACAGAATGCTGATTGATAAAAAAATTTTTTAAATCATTTTACATCCACCATGAAAAAATAGATTCAGGTAGTCATCGTGAAGTGATATAAAAAAAAAAAAATTGGAAAATAAGACATTCATAATCCCAAAGCCTTCCTTGGCATTAGAAAAGTCTTGCCAAGCAATTAAACTTACTACCACCCAGAATAGAAAATACTGATAGTTTATGTCTCCTCAGGGAGTATTTTGAGGATACAACATTCCTCTCTGTAGATTTCTTGCCCAAATTGTTTAACGTGAATATAATCAGGAGCAACCACTCACACTAATCCATGTCTCGCTCCTCACAACCACCAGTCTAGACACTTCCACCATGTTTTGGGATCATAAAAGACCCCAAAAGGCTACGGAATTGTCTTAAGTAAAGGAGAACCAACAGGCATGACAATACAATGTGTGAGTCTTTGGGAGGAACAGGAGAGACACTTACAAAGGGCATTGGGGAGAAAATCATTGAGGTAGTCCACACACAAATTGAACTGCCTCTAACCAAGGCTGAGGAGAAACAGCTATAAAAGTAGAAAGTAAAACAGGAGAGTTTACCTCACAGAAATCAAGCAATGAGAATGTTTCAACAAGGAAGTGGTCAGTTAGCTCTTGACTGATTAAAGAGATGACCAAATACGGATCAGAGTCACCTACGGTAATGAATCTGAATGGTGGAATTTGGGCTTTACCTGTGCTCTAGAATCCTGCATGTCACCACTAACTCATCTCTCTAGCTGGGCCAGGAACCAGGGGCTTAACCTCTCCTCTCGAGGCGGAGAAAGTGGCTGCCAGAGTCTACAAATTCAGGGTATGTTTACTTCAGGGCAAACCCAAACCAAATCCACAACCCATCAAGTTGATCCCAACTCACTGTGACCCTATATAGAGTTTCTGAGACTGTAAATCTTTCTAGGACCAGGTATTTTCTTTCTGTATGAAAAATTAAAATAGGAGAAACTGAATATTTATTTGGAAGGAAGGAAAGGGTCAACAGTGCAAAATGCTATCAGGACATTAATACAGACAGGGGGAAAAAATTCATACTTTTTACCAAGAGTTACAAGATGTTATGTATTAAATTTTTTGTCCCCCAAATATGTGTTGTGCACCTTAATGACCATACCTGTGGTTCCAATGAGCTGCTGCTAAGAAGAAAGACACTGCTGCCACCAGGGTGTATAGCCTAAGAAGCCGTGGGCCGTACTATTCTGTGGCGCCACGGTTACTGTAAGTGGGTCAACTCCATGGCCATGGCTCATACCTGTGGCTGTGCTCCCCATGTGGGAAAAGGTTTTCCTTATGAAGTGCATGAGTCAGTTTTAGAGTAGGGACCGTGTGGAGCCAACCTCTTTTAAGGCCCGACATGAAAAGAGCACGCAGAGGTGGAAGACAGATGCCACCCACATGAAGATAACCAGAAACAAGGGATAAAGGTGACAAGATCAAGGGCTTTCCCCCAGGGCAGAGAGGAAGTGAGAGCCTACCTCTGGAAACTTCTACCTATATTTGATTTTAGCCTGCTAAGTGAGCAGCCCTGGTGTGGTGGATTATGTGTTGAGCTAAGAACCACAAGGTCAGCAGTTCAAAACCTTCAGCAGCTACATAGAAGACGGATGAGGCTTTCCACACCCGTGAAGAGTTAGTCTCTGAAACCCACAAGGGCCTTCCTTCCTATATGGCCTTTACGAATCCGATTTCACTTGATGGCCCTGAGTTTTGAGGCCTCCTAATTATGAAAAAGCAATTTTGTTTGCTTGTTTGATTTTTTATTTGTAAGAGAGAAATTTATATCAAAGAGCAATTGTTTTTTTAAAATAAGTGAATATTTAATTCATTTTTTGCTTTTAATACAAAGATCCAACTATCCTTTAAAATTTTTTTTAATAGTTTTATTGTGATACAACTATTATCACAATCCATACATACATCAATTGTGTAAATTATTATTTTGTCCTATCTTGTCCTGTCCAACATCTCCCTTCACCCATTTTTCTGTCGTCCATCCCTCAGGGAGGAGGTGACATGTAGATCCTTGCCATCAGTTCCCTCTTTCCAACCCATTCTCCAACTACTCTCCCAGTATCGCCACTCACACCACAGGTCCTGAAGGGATCATCTGCCCTGGATTCCCTGTGTTTCCAGTTCCTATCTACCACTGTACATCCTCTGGTCTAGCCAGACTTGCAAGGTAGAATTCGGATCATGATAGTAGGAGGCGGAGGAAGCATTTAGGAACTAGAGGAAAGTTGTATTTTTCATCATTGCTATATCGCACCCTGACTGGCTCGCCTCCTCCCTGAGACCCCTCTGCAACAAGGGGATCTCCAGTGGCCTACTAATGGGCTTTGGGTCTCTACTCTGCACTCCCCGCATCATTCACTACGGTAAGATTTTTTTGTTCTGATAGCTGGGCACCATCAGCTTTCTTCACCATATTTGCTTATTCACCCGATTTGTCTTCAGCGGTTGTGTTGGGAAGGTGAGCATCATAGAATGCCAACTTAATAGAAGAAGGTATTCTTGCACTGAGGGAGTACTTGAGTAGAGGCCCAAAGTCCTTCTGCTACCTTAATACTACACCTATAAATATAGGCACATAGGTCTATTTCCCTATCCTCATATATAAATATATTTGCCTATGTACGTGTCTTTATCTAGACCTCTATAAATGCCCTTTGTCTCCCAGCTCAAAGCGCAATTGTTAAGGCCACCCGCTTGTGTTATTTGTTAGAGCAGGTGCTGAGATAAGTTAAGACACACGATATTCTGTTATTTTTCTTATGCTCAGTTTCATCGTCACCTCCAAAGCTACACAGATTCACTATAAGCATGAATGATAAAATAAACGCAAGTTAAAGTATACCTCATAATTTACTCACCCAGAGTCACCCACTATTAATATCTAAGTGTATATATTACCATGTATAGATACAAATTTAAGAAAAAAATAAAATTCTCTCCCGCATGCTGTTTTAAAGCCTACTTTATTTGCCTCACAGACAGGGAATTGTTTTTCAGTATCAGTAGAGACTTCACTGCAGTGGGATCTCTGAGGATACTGGGGGTCCATTGCAGGGACTGCAGAGCAGCTTAGGGAGCCCATCATCCTTGGTTTCTTATTTGGATGCTTTGCTACTACAAGAAGCATAGCAGTGAGCATCATTTTAGCTAAATGTCTGAACACGCTTATTACGTATTTCCTAAGGATCAACGCCTAAAAGTGGAACTGCTGGCTCAAGAGGCAACCATAGTTTTCAGGCTTTTGCAATGTCATTGTTAAAGTGCTCACCAGAAGGACTTCAATGATTGATACTCTGACCAACATGGTGAATGGGCTTTTCTGGGAGCCTCACGAATACAAAGTTACATTTTTGAAAACTCTTCGAAATTTTATGTTAGCCATGGATGAAAAGGTGAGATACAAATTTAGAAAAGTCAGATCGTTCATAAATTATTCAAACGTAGCAGGGAATGACAGCCCGTCACCAGCCTATGTTTACAGAGACCCGAGGGAGCCCTGGGGGCACAGAGGGTTAAGTGGAGCTGCCTAGCACACTGCAGGCCGGGAAAGAGGCCGTCCGCTCCCATAAAGAAGCAGCCTTGGAAGTTCTGTGGAACAGCTCTATTGAGTTGGAACGGGCCCGGGGGTAGTGGGCTTGGATTTAAGGAACAATAAAGAAGCACTCTTGCTATCATTCTAAACTGTGCCTGCTAAATGACAAATGAAAGGGTAGTTCTAATGCAAGCATTAAAAACATGAAAATGTAGACAGTAAACAGGAAAGGATGAGAAATTGGTTTCTTCTGCTAAAAAGCAACGGATGGTCCGAGCATCCTATGCTGATCTGTTCATAAAGATGTCTGTGACGGTGTACTTACAACAAAGGTCTTCGTTCCTGCCCAAACTCTGCTTCGTAGTAGCCATCTCTGCAGTCTTTACCAACGAGATCATGAGGATGAGGCTTATAGGGGTCATTCTTGGTTATTAATGTAATCCTTACTTTTCCTTTTCCATAATAGTTCATAATCTGAAAAAGAGAAAAAATCAAATACTTATATCTAGTAAAACCAACCAGTGCTGAAACCTGTGTAAGGAAAACGAAAACATTTCCCACGAAAACAAGTGGTAGAAAAGTGTTAAAAGTGGAAAACATGGCACTGGAACAAGGCAGACCTTTCGAGTCTCTGTTCTCAGAAGGGTCAAGGACTATATGTATGGACATGCAAATATATGTGCACATATGTAGATACATTTTATATAATATCATTAGCACTAGATAAATAAAGTCCCCTTGACTGCTGAATGCAGCAAGAGGAAACTTTCCAGGAATACAAGTAGGAAAAAATTTACCTCTCAGTTTCTTGGCATATATTTTCAGTCCTAACTTTAATTGGCCAAATCATCTGACTCTCCTACTTTGACTTTAAAACAAGTAAAATTATGCAGAGATTTTATCACAGAACATGAGAAAATACTTGGCTGTCAAGTCACCAAATACCCTCATCCTAGATGCACGCTCATACTCAAAACCTTCAAGTACCGTATATACTCATGTATGAGCAGAGTTTTCAGTACATTTTTAATGCAGTTTTTGTGGTAAAATTAGGTGCCCTGGCTGATATTTGCGTCGGCTTATACTCAAGTACATATGGTATGTATTTAAGCCACAATGGAACTGATAACATACCCAAATGATCATTTTACTAAGTAATATTTCATGTTTGCTAATCAGTAAACATATTCCCAGTGTGCACTGAGCAGTGGGCAGTTTTACACAGCGAGTACGCTTAGAGCACAGGGCGAGAGAGGAGAGGGTACATACCAGAAGAGAAGGCTGCTCTGGGCGTGAGAAGGAGTTAGGTGCTCAGTTTGGAAGCTAGCAAATTTGCAAGACCAAAGCAGGGAAGACAAGGAGGGAGACAGTTAAAGGCTTCCCAGTGTAAGGCACTAACACCTTTAATTTAAACTTCACGTGAACAATAACCCAGAAGTACTCTGCCTTTCTGTGTGAAAGACAAACTAATCTAGAGCTCCAGCTAGCACACTTTCAGGACCCACTAAAACTGTAAGGATACAGGAGAGCTCAGAAATGGTTTAGACTACTTATAAAATAAGCTACATTATGGAGAAGAGTTAAAAATAAATCTTCAAAGGATTGGGAGGATGTTTTCTGATTTACTGATTAGTATTTCCTACATCTTCTCTCAAAAAACTCATTGCCATAGTCAATGCTGATTCAATAGTGACCCTATAGAGCAGGGTAGTAACTGTCCTTGTGAGTTTCCGAGACTATAACTCTCTCCTAGAGGAGAAAGCCTCATCTTTCTCCTGAGCAGCTGGTGGTTTCAAACTGCAGACCTTGTGGTTAGCAGTTCAATGCGCACCACTAGTCACCAGGCAGTCCACCCTGCCCTAGAGGGTCACTATAAGTTAGAATAAAAGGGGGAACTGATCACAAGGATCTACATATAACCCCCTCCCAGGGGGACGGACAGCAGAAAAATGGGTGAAGGGAGACAATAGTAGGTGTAAGACATGAAAATTTTTTTTTATAAATTATCAAGGGTTCATGAGGGAGGGAGGGAGATGGGGGAAAATGAGCTGATATCAAGGGCTCAAGTAGAAAGACGATGTTTTGAAAATGATGATGGCAACATATGTGCAAATGTGCTTGACACAATAGATGTATGTATGTATGGATTGTGATAAGAGCTGTATGAGCCCCCAATAAAATGATTTTAAAAAATAAAATAAGTTGGAATAGACTCCAGAGCAGTTAGTTCCCTACATCTTTGGATTTAAATAAAAGGACTTAGGGGAGGGGAGAGGGGAAAAATGAGGAGCGAATACCAGAGGCTCACGTAGAAAGCAAATGTTTTGAGAATGATGAGGGAAACAAATGTACAAAAGTGCTTGAAACAATGGATGTATGTGATAAGAGTTGTACAAGACCCCAATAAAATGATTTACTTTAAAAAACAAAGAAAAAGAAAATAAATAAAAGGACTTAGATAACAAATTCATACTGTAGCAAAAAATGTGACAAATATTAGAAACTGAAATTCAACATTTAACTTTGTATTGGCTTATTCTGTAATTTAGCAATTTTCTTTTCATTTACTAAAATAAGGTTGGCAAATTCTAGTCCTAAGCTGAGTTAAAATCTGTTGAAGAAAGACTGGAAAAAATTTTCAGAATCTATTCTGCCATTAAAGTTTTTAAAAACTAGATGATAATTTGCCAACTTTATTTTAGTAAATTAAAAGAAAATTGCTAAATTACAGAAAGTGAAAAAATAGTATACAATCATAAATGCAACTGATTCATAATGATGAATATAGCACGTCACCAAATTTATAGTTGGATCTATTTTCAAATGTATGCTAATATGAAGAAACTGTATTTGAAAAGTGATAATATTCAAATCAGTCAGTACAAGATCCACTGCATGGGGCAGACAATTCTATGGAAAGAAGAAAATTATCTCTTTCCTTTTCCATAGCTTCTAGAATAGATGATGTCAATTGATTGACTGCTGTGAAGAATTTTAACTGGGCTCCTGAATCCACATAACAATTCTGCCCCCATGGGGAAGGAAAAAAGCCTTTTTTCCTCACCAGCTCATGCTCTCTGCAGGGCATAATTCGTCCTAGAGCTGCCACTGTGCAGTAAGCACTAGAACTCATTCAGCTTAGGCTTCTTACACAACAATGCACAACACTCAGCGATTTAGGCACCAATCACCGGTGGCTACTGAGCTGGCTGCCCCACCCCACCCGTGCTGCTGTGCCTCAGAGAACTGTAGATTGTCGATGGCTGGTTTTTCAGGAGTAAATCACCAGGCTTTTTTTCTCAAAGGCAGCTCTGGGTGGACTCAAACCGCCCACCTTCCGGTTAGCAGCTAAGTGCGTTCAACCTTTTGCACTGCTAGGGACTTGGATTTCTCTACAGGGGTGAAAAGCTAGCCTTTGTTTCAGGCATGTCCCTGGATGAGAGCTACCTATCTAGTACAGGTCAATTTAAAAAGAGAAAAGATCATGGAGAAGACCTTAAGGGGAAAAAAAGCACCTTTAATGCAACCGCTGTAGCTACAATAGGAAGCAAGTAGGCATGGGAGGCACCCAGGAAAAGGACTATTACCTGGATGGACGGGTATGTTCGGTTGTTGTCTGTGCTGTGCTCCCCAGGAATGCTGCCTGCTGATCGCCCTTCACATTTGTATCTAAATCGCATGCCCCTCTGCCTGGGCTGTTCAATGATCTCTATATATGGGGTATACCCACCTGAAAATTAAAAAAAGGAGAGAGGGAGGTGAGATTAGGATAGCAATAGTAGTGGATTTTAACCATGTTGTTTTCAAGACAGCAGACAAAAAGATTTTCTCTTTCAACATGAAAGGAGGAGGCTGATTTCAGTAACTAACTGATTTTAGTAACTAACTATCCAAGACTGAGCAGAAGACACCCCTTCGTTCATCAACAGTGAGCTTCTGGAGAGTTCTACTGGTTTAATTAGGACTCTCATTGTCCCTTCCTGTCTCTGGCTGATGCCAGCGTGAAGCTCTCAGATAACCACTTCAGAGATACCCATTTCCCACACGAGACCGGCAGGAGGGTTTCCCCCAAGACTTCCCCAGAGAGGCTAAGATAGTACACAGACTCAGACACACAATCTGGAGCTCCCCAACTAAGGAAAATGTCTTTAACTGGGTGGTATTGCTCACTGAAAATGTATTTAAAGGTATGTAAGTCATTTCCATTGGCGTCTTACAGAGTGGACCAAACAAGCCCATAGAGGTCGGGAATTTAGGCTCAAGAGAATTTTCAGTCACATAACCCTTTTTCTAAAGCACACAACACAATAGAAGAAATAATTTCTTTCCTAAAACAAAATCAACCAAAATAGGCACCTTTAGAAAGAACACATCATGGATGAATCTCAAATAATTATGCTAAGTGAAAGAAGTCAGATCAAAGAGAGCACAAGTCATATGCTCCCACCTATATAAAGCTCTGGAATATGCCAATCAAGCTACAATGAGAGAAACCACACTCCTGGCTGCAGGAGTCTGAGAGGGCTAGGAAACTGTGGGCGGTGGATGTATTAATTTTTTTGACGGAGGATTTTAGGGTTGTAGGCAAATGTCAAAGCTTATCAAACTGCACAATGTAGACATGGGCAATTTACTGTACACCAACTCTACCTCAATTAAGCAGTTTAAAACATGAGCGCCTCTGCCCTTTCATCATTCTAACCTTGGAAACAAAAATTCTCTAAAATGCTTTCAAGTAAGGAAATTAACAATGCGTTTTATTTCAAGGGCTTAAAGATACCTCCCATTCAAATAAATACTCCTTTAATCAGTTTAGTGAGTTCTAAATTCCCACACTTGGATTCCACTTCCTTGACTAAGACTTGTCCTCTGGTGGAATGCAAGGCACCTTCAGAGGGGCAAGTACAGCAGACCTGCTCAGCTCATCGCAGGAAAGATCCCCTCTGACTCCCACCTAGCTAGTCTTAACAGGTGAGGCCCTGGAGATGTTAGTCTCTTCCTCTGTAAAATGGAAATAATAGCACATAGTTCATAGAGTTGTTGTTATAAGGATTAGACAATTCTTATCACAGGCTGTCTTAAAAACAGTGACTTCAAGAAGGACCCTGTGGAACAGCGAAGCAACAGAAAACCAATTACTAGACTACAGAAGGGAAGGAAACCATTTCCAAAATTTGACATGTAGGGTTCATACAAGCAAAAGAACAAAGAATGCTTCATTATAGCAGAGGGAAACAGTTAGTGAAGCAGATAGGGGGCAAGGAGGGAACCCATGTAGGGTGTTCGAGGGAAGGGGAACAGTGTGTGCAAAGGTGTGGCAGCAGAGGGATTATTACAGAACCCCCAGGGCACGAAGCGGAAAGACCACTCTGTACAAAGAGAATCAATGGCCAGAGCACACTTGGGTTTGGATATCCTTCTACGGGTGACATGGAATCAATGAGTGTCTGTGAACTGAGGAATCACATGACTAGACAGGCGTTTTAGAGTAAGACTTCTGGGAGCTCTGGCTAGATTGAAGAGAAAAGCGGGATGACCCATTAAGAGGCTACTATAAGAATATGAGGAGGCTTCGAAATGTTCCTGGGACAATTCCATTTTCCACAAAGGTGTTGAAAGTCCCCCAGATGGTATGGATAGGGGTACGTGGACAATGACAGTAACTGGGATGAAGGGTTACTTAGATCAAATAGGCAGTACGGGGTGACTGAGTGTGCATTACAACCCAATGTTTCTACTCTGGGTTACTGAAGAATATACTATTACTTTCGCCTTTAGCTTTATTCTTTTCAGCTCAGATCTCTTATGTTTGAATCTACTGCCTATATGTACATTCAGAAAACAAAGGACCATAAATGCCTACGCATTGGATGCATGGACAATGTGGTATATAAATGCATAAACATTAGAGATTACTAGTGGTTACTAGAGGTGAGGAAATAAAAGACCTTTTTGGTTTTTGCTTAGGGGAAACAGTTTACGTTAATGGTGGTAGAATAATTTGGAAATGAATAAGAACAACAATTAAACAACATGAAAAATATAACCAGTATCAATGAATTGGACTGTAATCAATATCACTGAATTATGCATATAGAAACTGTTGAATTGGGCAGGATTTTCTTGTGTATATTTTCACAATGGAAAAAAAAAGAGGGGGATCAGAGAAAACTTTAACCTAACTGAATTCTTAATATTATTTCAATTTACTGACAAGCAGCAAGCAAGAATTGCAGATGAATATGGCTCATAATAAAAAATTTCACATCTTTATACAGTCTCCCAGGAATATTTAGGGAAAAGTACATTTTCTCTAAATAGTTGATAAAATCAGCATTATCTTTAAAGTTGTCTCTTAAATAATTTATGTGGTTGAACTAAAGGTCAGATAAATCCCTGCCCACTACTTATTTAAAGGTGTCTTGGTAGGAAATTGATATTGAATGACATCATTACTGGTAAGTGGCTAACTTCTGGTGGGGGTAGGGAGGGCAGAGAGGGGAATGAGAAAGGCTCATAGCGAACATTTAAACACTTCACTGGTTACACACACTTCTTGAAACTAGATAATAAAAAAAGTTTACAGATGAACAGATGTTGAAAAGGGTTTTTTTTTATTTTAAAAGATATTAAAGTTGTAAAAATGGCATATTTCTTATAATACCAAGTACTTGGAAAATTCTTGAAATCTATTCTTCCTCATGAAGAAGCTCTTTACGGTTAAAAAGTTTCACAAACAAGTAATAGAACTGATTCTAACAGCCCACATCCCCCCAATTGGAGTTATTCTACCTCTCTTTAAAATTCTACTGATGACAATTATTCCAAGTAACTATAATTTAGGGAAGAGTGTTTTATTTCTTCTTGAAATAGAGCTGTTTCTCTTCTTCAAGCTCCGACTACTGGGGCTTACTCCTCAGTGCCTGTATACAAGTGCCTATCATCTGTTGAGTCAATGGTTGAAATTCTAAAGTTAAAGGTTCGTGTTGAAAAGGTTATTCAAACATTGCCCAGACTTTCCTTATTTGATTCCACTACTTAGAAAACAAGACAAGTGCTATGTGGGTACTGATCTACACCAGCGTACTACACCTTCACACTGTCTTATGCCCCTTCATATTTTGATTTTTCTGTATGTATGGTTTCTAAAAAGCTCCCAGTTGTGATGTCTGCATCATATATCAGTCTAATGCACCCATGACTTTGGAAGTGCCAGCCTTGCTGGAGATAGAAAGTGCTGAAATACCGTCCTCAATGAAGTGGCAAGAGGCTCAAGGTAAGTCTTAGAGTAGTGGGGAAAAATGAGCACTTTTAGCTAAGATGATCTAAATTCTAGCTTTGAAACGCATTAAACGGTCTTCAAACTAGGCTGTTCATGGCATTTTCCTTTAATCAATATTAAAGAAATTAGAACAGCCCTTACATTCCGCAGAGTATTGTAAAGTGCAACTAGAGACCAGAATGATGTTTGAACTATAGAAAACATGTTTTCAAGGAATATATACACTTTTTCCTGTGCACTTAGGCAAAAATTGGCAGTATTTTTTTTAATTGGCAGCATTTTAAAAAACATAGTGACCTGTCTAATAAAGTATGTTTTTAAGATCTGAAAAAAGAAATTGTACTGAAATTTTTAAAAAATAGCTAAAAATGTATCATGAACCTTATGGTTGGAATTAGGAAATGACATTAAGTATGCAGTGAAAAAAAATTAATTCCAGCAATTATAATTAGTTACAACCATTTTAAAGCACTCTTCCAATACATTTATTATTTGATCCTCTTACCAGCTTTAATGTTCATTAGAACACAGTAACAAAAATCCAGATTATTGTCAGCCCATTTTATAGACGATGAAACTAAAGTTCAAGAATGTGATGTGATTTGTTCAAGGTAATTGGTAATAGCACTAATGCTAAAATTAAATGACGTTAGTCTGATTAGTTGTATGATTTCTTGGGATTTCAGAATCCTAGTAGTCAGTAACTGGTTGTCATCATGGTGACCTCATGTGTGTCTGAGCAGGACTGTGTTTTCACGGATGATTTTTTTCAGAGATCAACTGCCAGGAGGTGCCTCTGGATGGACTGGAACCTCTAACCTTCTTTCCCATTAGCAGCCTATGGCATTAACCGTTTGTACCAAGTGGGACTCCTGGAGCCTTAAGGGTATTTGATATTATGTGCTTAGTGTCTCTAGAGGCACCTGTTTCCTAGAGGTCTGAGTTCCAAACAGTTCCATTAAGGAAGTAAGGAAACTACTCTATATGGGGGAATGCATCGTCTCATTTGTTCCTCATAACAAACCTGCGCAGTAGATATTATCCTGTGAGCTTTTTTAACGGCACTGAGACCCTACATCACAGAATAGCAGAAAGGGAATAAAAACCAACCCAGATCAACCATGGGCTAAGGTCTTAGTTAATTCTAATTACAGCAGACTAACTGAATCTGGTTTTAAGAAAGAAACTTAAACCCCCAAGCCCACTGTCATCAAGTCAATTCTAGCCTATGGGGATACGACCATAGACTTTCTGAAACAGTCAATCTTTAAGGGAGCAGAAAAACTCATCATTCTGCCTCAGAGTGGTGAGGTTGAACTTGGAGTTAGCAAGCCAACACATAACCTACAGCGCCACCAAGGCTCCTTAAGAAGGAACCCTGGTAGAAAAGTTTCAGAAAGTCTGACTGATACATGCACCATGAGGTAATCAATAAAAGATGTAAAGGGTTTTGGCAGAATAGAGAGGGGAAATGATCAGGCCCTGAAAAAGCCCTGTCAGGGTGAAAGCAACTATCTATAGGGTGAAAGCGACTATTGTACTTCAGTAACAATAGAGGGCATACTCAAATCGTCATTCTTTAAGACTGCCAGTTTTAAAAAATACAAAATATCCAGAAATATGAATTTCAGCTAAACAACAAATATTTGGGACTATGTGCCCTAAAAGATTATTTGTCATTTATCTGAAATGTAAATGGAGCTAGCTGTCCTGTTTTCTTTGGTCAACCTACTCTTGATTTCCCAGCAGCTTGACAAGAGTATGAACATAAAGCCCAGACACAGCTTAGATGTAGGCGCCAGGAAGCGTGCGAGGTCACATGCCTACAAAGACCATCGTTTTTTAGAAAATACAGACGAGAGGCGGTTGGAACAAAAAGAAATTCGGAGTCTCCTAAGCTGTATTTGAGAAGGACATCACACATGCCCAAGATGTTCCTAATTATGATTAATGTGATTCCTCCCTAGTCATTTCATCCACTCTATGTCTATCCTATGTAGCTATAATTCTTCTATACTGCTGTTATCTCAACTTTTACACATTTTGTATTTCTGAAACAATACTCATATTTACACATGCAGTCTTTTCCCTAAAAAAATAATTTGCTTTAGCTATGCATTCAGTCCTTTCAGCTGTTATTAAAGATAAGATACATCCTGTCTGCACCTATTTTTTTCTCTCCTTACTAAAGAGAAAGAACAGATCTCATGAAATTCACACTACAAAGAGTTGTTAAGTAATGTGGTTTACAAAGATAATTTCTTCATGTACTTCCTACTATTATGTGACTTGGCAGAATTACACTAAAGAAAAATGTGAATAAAACAGTAAATCATCTAATGTTGAAAACATATATTACTAAAGACAGTACTAATTATTAATAAGTGGAGCTATGATCCATAGAAGGACACCTAGCTCTTTTTACTGCAACAATGGCAAGTTTTGAATTCAAACATAAAATAACTCATTTTACTTGCATTAATTAAAACAGAATCATAAATACACAAGAGTAATGATTGTCTAACTATAGATACCTTAGGCTGATTTGGGAACAATTTTCTCCACAATGCCTATTCTAATTAGACTGGAATCAAGATTAAACAAAAAGAAGCAAATTTACAAAGCTCTCAATTAATCGGATGATCAATCTGAATAATATTTAAAATCACGTTATGTCGTAAAAATCCCAGTACTCCATTTTTCTCATGGGACTTATATATATTTGCTTATTAGCTTATGATCTATGTTACTTTTATGTAGATGATATGTTCAACTATATACTCTGTGTCTATTTACATATGACATCCGATGAGAAATGAAGAAATGGTCTTAAAAGTCTGGTCATTAATAAAAATACTTTTTGAGGTCTTAGTAATACCCTACTGCCAACAGAATCTAAAGCAGGCAATGAGAAACAAATTGAGACCATTTTTCTTTTGTAACAACTGATTAAGGGGCACACACACAAACTTAAAAAAAAATTGCATAGCAGTGCTCAAATAAATGGATTGCATTTCAAATAACTTGTGTTTTCAGGAGGCCCATTTTAAAGCAATTCTTGTGAAAAGGGTAAGAAAGATAATCACTCTTCAACTTTCAAACTTTTAAAATTTCACATTTCTTTCAATTTTATTCCTTCAATTTAGAGGACCTTTAGTCCTCAAAATAACAAAAGATTAGGTGCCATTAAACCAATTTCAGCGGTATATTTTAAAATCATGTGGATCTTAAAATACTCTATATAGAACATTTTTTTCTCTTTCAAAAGATTGCAAAGTAAGAATTAGATTACAATCTACTCAAGCAGCAAATTAATAAGGTCTGATGTAATTGCCAAGAGGCTAACCTTTTTTTGGGGGGGACACACACATAATTTACATATCATACAATTCGAGAGTTCAATCATATCAAGAGTGTACAATCATTACCACATCAATTTTAGAAGCACCCCCTCCCATGGTTAAATCGCCTTTAAAATGAGTTGTGCAATCACAATCAGTTCTAGTGCTCCCTCCCCACTCCATTTTTTAATTCCTGAATTTCCCCTGCATCCCCTATCAACACTTTTATCAGTTATTATCCCTATGCATCCATTCTTCTTGTGCTTCACAAACTGGGCAACCCAACAGAAACAATAAAAAACAAAATAGAAATAAGGTGGTAAGGATAAAATAATAATAAAGACAAAAATACAAATAATGAGTAAGAAAGAAAAGACCCCCATCAACATTCCAAAAGCCAGGGAAGAAGTTTCTGTCATGAAACAAGTAAGAGATACTTGCACCCAGAACAAATTCAGGTCAGGGTCTATAGGGAGGTCAACTGGCCCCGTATCAAGTTCGATCCAGCATAATCGAGTTTACAAGAGTTTCTGCCTAATAGTAATGTTGTTTGAGACTACTGCCTATGGATGGAGCAGATCTGCCAGCGGCTCAGTCTGACTAGATACTCTGCAGATAGGTTTTGGGCTCCCACTGTCCTGCACAGCATTCTACAAACTGGGTGTACATAATTTTAGTTCTCACACATTTCCCTTCGTCATATTCTAATTTTGTAATTGTCATCTTTGAACCACACAAGCTGGTGTGCTTCTGAGTGGACATAGTTGACTCCTCACTTCGATGGCTGCTTGTTTGAATACAACCCTTTAAGACCCCAGACACTATTCTGAATAAGGACCAGGCACCATCTATTTTCTTCACCACACGTTTTTTTTTAAACATTTACTGCTCGCCATTTTCTCCACTTCCAGAAAACATCTTTCTGATAGCCACTAAGTGAACCAAGTATTTAAAAATCATTTTTGCAGTTTTTAATCTAAATAGCTTTCAATGTATGACCTTAGAAGATTATCTGAACGACTGGGGTCACTTTAGTGGGTAAAGGGAAAGTTGAAATTATAAAACTATATTTGTAGTCTCACAAGAAAACCACAAAGACAAACTGAAATCAAATGTCATACGAAACACCCCTATTTCCTTTTCAGCCTTCTGTAGTAGAAAAGGCATTGTTCTCTTCAACCCTTTTAAAAGATCCTGTATGCGTTCAACTTCCTCTTTACTACAGATCAGCCTCCACTGAAGGTCACTGAACCTGAGGAGGGTGGGGGTTCAGCCCAAACACAACCCCCTCAGGCTTCCAAGACAGCATCCAACAGCTCTTAGGCCACCCTGCCTTCGTTCGGGCTGCACCGCCAGCCTGGAAAACGCCTCCATCCACTTTTCCAAAACCCTGGGAAAGGCCCAGTGCAAACGGGTCTCGAGCCCCCTGCAGCTGGGCTGTTCCTCCCCAGCACCGCGCTGTTGCTCAGGCAGCACTTTCGCTGCCGTGGAGTCGATGCCCACTCGGAGGGACCCTGGTAAGGCAGGGTAGAACTGCCCTGTGAGTTTCCAAGATTCTGTTCATGGGAGTAGAAAGCCCCGTTTTTCTCCCGTGGAGCAGCTGGTTTCGAACTGCTGACCTAGCAGATCGCAGCCCAACGCACAACCACTTAGCACCTGAAAATGAACGTTTACGTTGTTTTCATTTCTAGCCACGGCTTTCAAAAGCACCATCGCTCTACCCAACCCCTTCTTCCAACAGAAGAAAAAAACTGAACTAGCAAGTGTGCACTTTATTTCGCCCCCCAAAGCATCCCCCACCTTTGTTAGAGCAACACCTCCAGGCCCGACCTGCGGAAAGGCCACAGGCGACGCCGACAGCCGCGCCGAGTTCAGGACCGCCGTCCGCGCAAAGGGCGCTCGCCTCTCGGCGCCGCACGGCTTCGCCGGCGCCCCGAAGGTTCCTCATTCCGCTTCTAAAACCCCAAACCACCAGCTCGATACAAATCCGCTTTAAAGTCCACCTCGGGCTGACGTTTAATCTTTAAAATCAAGCCGTTGGGAATTTCTTAAGGTTCCTGTGATGATAATGGGATCAAATTACAGAGCTGGGCTTTGATTTCGCACGCACACCCCGAGCCGGGTAGCAGCTCTGAGGGGCTGACAATTTGCCAGAGCCTGCGATCTTAGACAAGGGGCCACTGCCAAACCTCTGCCCACCCAGGGGCGCGCCCTCCGCCCCACCGCGACCCCCACTCGGAGTCCCCGCGCCGACACTCACCCGACGCCATGGCAGGGAGCGCTCGTCGCGCGCACCGCGCCGCCCCACAGGTAGCTCCGCGCGTCCCGGCCGGCGCCGCCTCAGCCAGCGAGCGCCTCAGCCAGTCAGCCGGTCGCGGGGCCTCTGCCGGCGGGACCCCCAGCACCCCTGACCACTCCCGGGGCCTCCTCCCCCTTCCCGCCCTCCTCT